ATCTACCAACTACCATGCGTATACTCAAGTAATGTTTGTAGCACACATTTGTTCATTTTTTAAGAAATAATCACATCAAACATTGCGTACATAACCTCAATTTTTCTTTTTGAACCGGTGGTAGCAAAAGTTGAATTTGCTACCACTAAATGAGTCGACATTTGCATGCGTCCAGGCTGCTAGTGAAAAAACAACCTTTTTAGCTTCTTCTGCTACTATTTGTAGCGAATCCCCTCATCTTCAAAGATGCGGACCTGCTGTAAATAAAGAACCTTACTATGTATATTTTTACTTCCCGAGCGTAAGCAAAGGAAGTATTGTAATCGAGTCCGTCGGCCGACTCTCTACTTTTACGTTTTTACTTCCCGAGCGTAAGCAAAGGAAGTATTGTAATCGAGTCCGTCGGCCGACTCTCTACTTTTACGTTTTCTAGATCTTTCATGACCCCTAGAAGACGAAGAAATAGGTCTCCCATTTCCGTCTGTCTGTCCGTCTGTCCGTCTGTCCGTCTGTCCGTCTGTCCGTCTGTCCGTCTGTCCGTCCGTCTGTCCGTCTGTCCGTCTGTCCGTCTGTCCGTCTGTTGTCACGGATTTTTATTAGACAGATAATCTCCGAAAGTACTCGACCGATTGTTGTGAAATTTTGTACTTATATTAAGAATATCATGTAGATGGTAAAACGCTAACCAAAATTTGTCGAATCATCCCCACCACTAAAGCGATGACGTCACTTCAAAATTGTACCGAATGCTTTGAAATCTTGCAGATGTTTTAAGGTTATAAAGAGCATAATAAATTTTTAGTCAAAATATATTTGGTTATCTTCTACAAAAAACTGATGACGTCAGCTCAAAAGTTTTCCGAATAAATCGTATCTAAAATGTACAAAATATGATGAGTCTGTACTTGTGATTTATCATTCCATTCATATTTTTGGATTTGCATATGCAGGGTGACTCAAAAAAATTAATGAAGGCGTGAATTTATTTTATCGATTTAATCAGGAATTACAAAACCGAATGCTTTGAAATCTTGGGAATATTTTAAAGTTATTATAAGCATGGTAAACTTTTGTTCAAAATGTATTTGTTCATCCCTCCTAAAAAAATTGATGACGTCACCCTTAAATTTTGCTGAATAAATCCTATCTAAAATGCAAAAAATATGATGAGTTTGTACTTGTGATTTATCATTCCATTCATATTTTTTAGATTTTCTTAAGAGGTGGTTCAAAAAAATTAATGAAGTCAATTTATTTTATTGATTAAATTAAAGGCAACACTTATTATTAGTATTACACCCCAACCAACCCAATTTGGTAGACACAAAATTTGTTAAAGGAAAAACTCGGTTGAAACATAAGGGTAGCACGCTTATTTACATCGACTTTAACATTACAGACCTGCATTTGTTTTATGCGTTCACTTGATTCCGCGAATGTGAAATAGACATGTTTATAATCAACCAATTGTGAATTTCACCGTCAAGAATTAAAATAAAACCCAATGTTTTATATAATAAGCGGAAGTCGAAGCAATAAAACCGACGGTCGTTTTGTTTACAGTTTCTGTGTTTGGCTCTCACGTATGCTGTTACGCCTGTCATCTTAAATTAACAATGTTTATACATACACGATTTTCAGTTGCCTCTGATACGTAGGTATACGTGAGTAAATTGTTTCGTTATTTTATTGATTATTACAAATCAATATTCAAACGACCCAATTCATTTTCCCGAAAATTTGAGAATATAATAATTTTATTCTTAGTATTACACTACATCTATCCCAACTGATATACGTGTCCTTGCAAAAATGTTGATGACGTCATCGCAATTTTTTTTTAAATTCCCACTACAAAAATGTAATGAGAAAAAAAACACAATAGGCATGCAGTCGTCAAGTTTCCGACAGCGAGGGAAGTACTGTCTAAACTCTTTAGACCAATTTTTTATTTCAAATTTGTTTAATTCATTACAAAATGTCATTAAAAACCTAAAGATAACACAAATTGCATTGGGTTTGGCAGCTTCTAGGCTAAATTGTAAAATGTTGTGATAAAATTGTGATTTTTTTTTTTAAATCTGAAGTGTCCAAGGGAAAAAACAAACGCAGATTCATAAACTACAGGGGTATAAGCATATTATTTTATAAAATTTAAATAAGATTTCCTTTGTAAAATTTTGAGATGACGTCATCAAATTGTTGGTGGGGATAATTAGATACATTTTGGCTAGCGTTTTATTATCTAGACGATATTTTTAAAATACACTTAAAATTTTACAAGAATCAGTCAGTAGTTTTGGTGATTATCTCTCTAAAAAAATCGCCAACAGACGACAGTTAAACGCAAAAGGACGACCTACTTTTTCATAGTCTGGGTTATGTATCTTTGACAAAACAAAATTAACCGTTCGCTAGTGTAGACTGATAATATTTTGTACATTTTAGATATAATTTTATCAAAAAAAATTTGAGATAACGTCACTTAATTTTTGGAGGAAATAAGCAGAAAAATTTTAAATAGCGATTGAATGTGCTATAATAATTTTAAAACGTTTGCAAAATTTCATGGGATTCGGTTTTGAACTTTCTAAAATAAACTGAAAATATTGTTATACAATCTTGATTTTAGATAAATACCTCTCTTACTATATGTATAAAGTAATTCTCCAGGCTACTTGATCTCTTATTTGCTATTTGTGGTTCTATAAACAACTTATTTTTTTGCGTTTCTTCGGCTCGACTTGGCTTGGCTTGGCTCGATTTGTCTTGACTTGACAGATTTGTTATTTCATAAAATTTAAATACGATTTACTTTGCTAAATTTTGTGATGAGAATTACTTAAACCAAGTCTCTTGAAATCAAAATTATATATTAACAAGAATCTAAGGAATTGTAAAAATCACCTAATTTCGGATTAATACCATTGACATTCTGATAATATATGGATAAGGAATGCGGTATAAACGTACAAAAAGTATCACATTGCTACGTTAATCGGTGAATTAAACTCTGCGTGGGCTAAACTGAACAATTTATTTCTCAATAACTCAAATTTACACGACTGATGACACAGCGATTATGTACAAAATAAATCCGGCGGTCCTTCTTGAAATGCCTCCATCACCGCTTCTAGATTTGTCTGGAGTAACCATTCGCGACTTCCCCTTCCAGGCTCTTCACCGGCGGCCGTCATCGACAATGAGTCATTATCGCCGTACATGCTAGAACCTATAGGCGTCGTACCGGGCCGGCGTATGGGTTTATTTCGTAACAATACAAGGTGACTGCGAAATACATGCAAAAAAAAAAATGGGGAATAGCTCACAATATGATTATGTCACTGGGTAAAATTCACGGTCCTAAGTAGTAGCAGTGTCTAGAAAAAATTATTTGAAATTCAATGTAAATTGTTGTAAGCGCCGCTGGACTGTTTTGTGACCTACATAATTACTACAATGAATGGAACAGAGCGAGTCGGTTAAAGAACCAAAAAAGTTACTTTATCAGGCACTTTTTTAATCGCAACGTGAAAAACACGAAAAGGGCCAGTTAGCATCGAGCGGTCGGTGAAATCGGTTTATGGTGCAGTTTTCCCATGCAGATTGTGTCGATATGGTAATGGGTGCATCAGTGGTACAGCATCTCCGAGATCATGGTACCTTCAACCTCAAACTCACGATCGTGGCCGTGATAGGACAGAAAGAAGAAGTTGGATTTTCACAGCTTGTAGTGCATCCTACATTAAAAGAATACGGCCACATCCATACCATGTTGACAAAGTGCACGGTTTGGAGTCCACTGATTGTTCACGTTGTGTAACTCACTTTTTGTCCGATGGAACTCCACGTAGTCGTCAACAAGTACGATTTCAAGAGACGGTTTTCGATAAATGTGTATCAGTTGGATGAAACAGTTCGTTTGTGGAAATCAACAGTGTCCAGAAATTATCGAAGAGCTTCAACAAGTGAAAGTGACACCCGCTACTCCGGTGTTTTTTTACCTATCAACAAACCTCTTGCGACGCTCTGACGCCTGTATTGCTAGTCAAGGACAACATTTTCAACATTTCTTGTAAAAAGGTAGTAGCATTCTAAGTTGCTCTTATTTCTGTTCCAATAAACAACGTAAAATCGTTGTGACAAGGACCAAACATCCGTCAGAATCAAAATTACCAAAAAACTTTCACACTGACCTTTAACGATGAATGAGTAAATGAATGAACGAATGATAAGCAGCAAAAAGTCGGTTTTACTTTTAATTGAAACTGAAAGTGTTTAGGTCGTTTTTATTCGAACGTTTTTCCAACTCTGTTTACAAGGTGGCTCAGTGCCTTCGTATCGAGGGTGGTTCATGGGGGTTTTGCCCCATTCGATTTTTAATTTCTTTTTTCTATATTTCGGCTCTACTAGGGTGGGGGATGCCGTGGTTAAAATATTTGCACTTATTTCGCAGTCACCCTGTATAATCGAACAAAGTCCTCTGAAATAATGATGTTGGCAATACCAACGCGTTCGTTGTTCAGTTTGACAGTACGGTCAAATAATTGTCAAATAAAATGTCAAATAGTTGCAATGCCAACGTCATTATTAAAAAATAAATTTCATAGTATTATTTTCTGCAGCAGAAGTAGAGACTCTCGCCCTTACACACCGATGTGACATGTTACTTGTACAACTTGTTGAAACCAGTGTAAACAGCCAACTCTAATTCACTGTATTTTTGATCCACCAAGAAACGTACCTGCAATGATTACAAATGCCAGTTCTAATCTTGAATTTTATATGCATACGGTTGTAATAACCTAAACATTCCGCCAAAATTAAAACATGCGCACAAAATTTGAAAAACCCGCGAAAAACTGTCTTGTAGCTAGTAAAAGCAGTGATGATTTATTGTTGGTAAAAATAAAAATATATCAGCACGTATTATTTGTTTCATTTTATTTGATAATCTGATATCCTAGGCTATGAGTGTACCCCTTGTCCCCTACACTGTTACGCCACTGGTAATTCTACCCACTTATTTGACATTTTAACAATTTTTGTGCACCTCCTATTTAAAAATTAACGAGTACTGAGTTAGTACTCGGGGGTGTTCCCACCATGAATTCACTAAAATTCTTCACCAAGTCAGTATTGGTGAGTAAATCAACTTTTATCACGATAAATTGTCCATAACCTCAAAACACATTTACAGAGACCGACGTACAGACTTCACGCTGTTACGCAGAGACATGCAAATTCAGGTTCTGTCGTAGACCCCCCTGAAGACCCAAATATTTTAATTCCGAAACCGAAACAACGTGACAATGAGCCTCTGGAGCAACGTAAAGCAAGGTAAACTTCAGCTTTTAGCAGCGAGTGAGTGTACTCCAATTTTCTATCTAGGCTTCTCTACCAATCTCGCAAACGTGGAATGCTAGAAAACGATCTCCTTCTGAGTACTTTTATAAACAAGCATTTAAATAGTTTCACAGAGACGCAATTAGAAAAATATGACAAGTACGTGTGTTAATTATGCCATTGGTGAACATGTGCTCAATTGAAAATGTTTTAGCCTTATAAATGGGCCTTCTAATGATTGGGATATTTATTATTGGGCGACCGAAATAAAAGAAACACCTGAAGAGTATCAGCATGAAGTGATGGACATGCTGAAGTTGCATGTTAAAAACTTGAACCGGGAACAAAGACTGAGGCAGCCTGACTTGAAGTAAAAATGATGTATATGTATTTTGGCTAGTCTATTTATTGATAAAATAAACTGTTAGGCGATTTGTTGAATAAATATTAAAAAAATATTAATTTATTTTTGAAATGTATATTGGGGTATGCAACCAACTATATACATGTGAAAATATGTGCATATATACGTTTAACAAATTTGATTGAGGTAATTCATAAGTATGTCGGTTTGTCTATTTTTTTGGCAAATTTTTTAAACTAAACAGGAATTATTTATTCAACCATTATAACTCATCACGAAACTGGGCCAACATTCATGGGGCGATCTATAATTTCCGGATTTGTTACAAGATCAATAATAGTATTGTTACCATAGAGACCAATATAAAACACTTCGCTTAAATAAACTTTACTCAGTGAAGGAATTAGCATCGGGTTTCTTGGAAATAATTAGGTCCCAGTAAACTTAGACATACTAGACGTGACAATGAAAATACAGAATCCTAAGTTAATTCTGGAAATTGTCAACAAATTCGGTGTCAGTTTCCTTCAAATTTCATCTCTGCCTCTACTTGCTCGGTTTTTTTTTAATGTATTCAGTTTCAAAAATGTATGCATGTTTCCTTTAACCATACGAAAAGGTGTTCTTTATCTTCCATTAAAAAATATACAATGACTCACATTGACTTATCAATCACTGGATTTTGTGAAAAAAATTATCTGCTCGTTGGTTTTCCCAAATGTCATATGTGAATTATATTTATTTAATTATCAAATGTCTATTTATCAGTGTTAATAAGTATGCGCATCGTATAAATACAATTACAATGAGTGCTTCATAATTTGAAACACACATGTCGCTTGCACTTTGTCTTTTTGCAGTTTTTGTCTGTAAACGTGAACTATGCGTACTAAAAGTCAAAATTTTTGCGCCTTTGCCAAATGGATCTATTTTTCGAAGCCATCCGATAGAATATCATTCGTACAAATGTAATTTCATCCGGTGTCGGTTTTAAGCAGCTGTCTAGCATCGAAGTTATTTCAAGCGCTCGGCTGTTAAAACAAAAATAGCCAACTTCCAGACGGTACACATAACGACGACGCCTAATCGATGTAAAGACTTTAGGTACAAAAATAATAAAGTCTGTTAGTTCCAAAAATCACGCAATCGACAGAAATTGCAATCAATATGTTCCAGACACTAAAATAATCTCATGACCTAGCGTGCCTCCAGAGACGTCAGCACGCCACTGGCCGGAAATGCTGTCTAGTCGCGATAAATATTTGTTTTTGAAGAATATGTATTAGGTATTGATATCAAAAGGTTGTGTTTGATCCGTCGAGAGGAAGACCATTGAGAATAAAAGAATGAATGAATAATTTATTGGCGGAGGTGGAGATTATTTTCAGATAATGATTCAGTTTTTGCCCGAAAGCACTTCCGTCAGAATGTTTTATTAGATGATGTAAATTAGAACTTTCTCTAACTTTCTGAATTGTGCTTCCCACGAAATTTGCATGAGATGAAATTAATCAGTGTTAATTAAACGCAGGTAAAAGGAGGGTGAAAAATGTAGCGATTTATCTTCAGTGTTTGAAGTTTATTTTTTTGGGAGAAGTTTTAACGTGATTGAAAATATCTGTGAGTAAGGAGGAAAATATCGGTCTTTGAGACGCCCACTCAAGCTACTAACTAAAGTAAAATTTGACTGCCATTTTTCATTGTTAATGTACACCAAGTGTGTTTTAATGACACTTGTAAATTAAAATTCCTTACCCGAAAGTAATTGAAATAATAAATTGGTTGCCATAATAATTTTTTTAAGTAATGTGTACCGTATGGCCATTGTTTAGTGATCTAATAATACTAGGTAGCACTTTAGGTAGATTGTAGTGCAATTTTCCAAAAATGAAATATGCTCACTATTGTTATAAAAAGATTTTGAGTTAAAACTATGATTTCATTATGTGCTTTAAGTGAATGAAGAAAATACAATCCTATTATTATTTGGTGACGACAAAAAGTTACCAAAATAATACGGCAATAAATGATGAAAGGAAAAGTGAGCTGATAAAATACAAAATAATCACTCAGTTCGACATTCATGGACAAAGCTCATCACATAGGACATTTGTCCTGAAATGTGATTCCAGTCAAGATTTACGAAATTGGACACACATCCAGTTCTTCCCTGGATCAAGAATCTTTATTTCCAGGATCAAAGCAATTCATAATCGCTTCATCTGTCATTTTACTTACTTTTTTTTGTTTCCGTTTGCTGCCCGTTGAAAATGTATTTATAATTAAATTATATAATAATATAATATATAATTATAATCCCCACTCATTGTATAATTTTCAGGGTAAAGTAAGGCACCATTATAGTAATTACTAACTAGAAATTTCTTCATCCTTTTTAAAAGGTTGATAAGGTCTCAAGGTACTGTTAAAAATTTATTTGTCATTTCTTCTGGAAATTTTGTACCGTCATTAAAAAAAGTGGCCATTCATTCGATGGACTCCATTACCATATCTACTGCCTTGGCTTACGCTCAAGAAGCAATAAATATTTTCTGGACAATATGCTGTAATATACAGGTGAGTCGTTAAACGCGCGCTTCTCGATTAATTATTAGAAATAGAAAAAAAGCCATATACTAAAATTATTTTTAACTATAAAAAGTGTTCAGTTTTTAAAGCGTATCACACAACTTGGTTTCTTATCGTAGGTATTGAACTTTTCTTAGGATTTATAATTACAGTTTATTTTTGAAATTTTGATGCGACGTTGCCATCTTATTGCATTTTCTTGAAACTTTTTAGCCACGGAAAGGTTCACAAAAAATCGCAATAAGGTAAGCGCTTTGTTGTGATATATTTGAAATGAAATTTTCATATACAAAGTGTTTGTTTATTTATTTTTTTAATTATTACAATATTTTTCAAATATCGATATTTCATTTTCAAATAGACAACTTTTGTATTTTATTACTGCATCTTATTTTATTTTTGGAGTTTTAACTCCTTTCTTTTCGTAGTATAGGATGTCGAGTTCGACCTGCGAGCTCGAACTCGGTGTCGGTGTCGGTGTCGAGGACACCGAGACCGGTCTAAACTGAGTCTGAACACAGGCATGTAACGCCGCGCTATAGAAAGAGAGAGAGAAATAAATTATTTAATAAAATGTGTTCGTTTGACTGTTCCAACGACTAAATTAGGTAGAACAATTGATGCCGTTTTCACACGCTTTATTACTCATTTAAGAACTGATATTTATATCACTCATTTCAATCACCATAGGCCACTAATACCTGTATTAAATGATAGGGATAAAGATATCGAAGGCGATAACTCTGATTGAACTGTGATTTGTATTTTAATAAATCAAATAAGTTATAAATACTGCTCTAGCATTTGTAAATATTTACTTGTTACTTTAGTTGGTAAATTACACATTGTACTTTAATTTTTTTATAGAATATTATTATAATAATTAATTATTATACATATATCTATATGATAAATAAATAAAAAAAGTATAACCCAATCATCATCATTAATTATCAATTTGTCAAAAAATACAAATGTAACATATTTTTGGTTTTTATTATTTTTTAAGAGAAAATTAATGACTTTACCGCTATACGTGTTTAATTTATATAAATTGACAACGCAGAGTTAAAACTCCACCCGTGCGTCCCTGGGTCGACGCACTCTTTTTTTAGTTCTCGTTCTTTTTAAGTGAAGTATTTTCAATGTTTAATAAAAGTTGATAGCTACTTGGATTTTTTTACTTTAATAGGAAATACATATTAGAAGAACGAGAACGAAAAATACAGTAAGATCACAATAATAAAATACAGGGTGATCTACTTGAAAAAACTGAAATATCGGTATTTGCAAATTGTAAAGTTTTAGATTCTTTCGGATTATTCTGGATGCTTTTGGATGTTTTCTAATTGTTTTACAATTTTTCGAATCTTTTCAGATTCTTTCAAAGATACCGTCAGGAATCCTCAAGATTCATTCAAATTTTTCAGTTCTATTCAGATCGTGTTAGAACCTTACAGATACGACCCTTCTAAATTCTTACAGGTTCCCTCAGATTCCTTCAGATTCTTTCAAATTCTTTCCGAATCTCTAAGATTCTTTCCGAGTTTCCCAATTTCTCTCAGATTCCCTCAGATTCTTATATTCCTTTAGATTCCTTCAGATTCTTTTAGAATCTCCCAATTTCTCTCAGATTTCTTCCAATTCCTTCAGATTCTTCCATTTTCTTTCTGATTCTCTCTTTCAGATTCTTTCAAATTTTTTTATTCTTTCGGATTATTCCGGATGCCATGATTCTTTAAAAATTTTCAGTTCTATTCAGCTTGTTTTAGAATCGTACAGATACTTTCAGATCTCCACAAAGTTTTCCAAATTCGTCCAGATTTTTCAAGATTTTTCGAGATTCCAGATTCTCACTTCTTTCAGATTCTTTTCTCGTAATTTCTCTCAGATTCCCTCAAATTCCCCCTCAAATGCTTTCAGATTTTTTCGATTCAGATTCTTTCAAATTTTTCAGTTCTACTCAGATCGTTTCAGACCTTTCAGATCTCTGCAGATTTTCCAAATTCTTGCAGATTTTTCTAGTTTTTTTTAGATTCTTAGATTTTTCGAAATTCTTCAAAATTCTCTCAGATTCTCACAGGTTCCCTCAGGTTCTTTCAGATTCCTTCAAATTCCTTCAGTTTCTATACTAACCTCTCAATTCTCTTAAATTCCCTCAGATTATCTAGGATTCTCTCGATTTTAATAATAATAATATTTACTCATTCCAATAGAAAGAGATCTCAATTACAGAAACCAAAAAAACTAAACATATACTTCTACAAAAAAAAAAAAAACAGAAAATTAACAAAATAATTAAGTGACCTCTAACATAATAAGAGTACATCGAAAATATATAATACTATTATACAATGTTTAGCAAGTTAGCACAGATCAATTTTAATGAATCGTTATATTATAAAAACTCGGTTTATTAAATTGATTTAATTAACACCACAATAAAGCGCGTAGTTTTATTTATCCTTCTACAAAATATTTAAGACATATCCTTTAAAAATAACC